TCTCTCTCTCTCTCTCTCTCTCTCTCTCTCTCTCTCTCTCTCTCTATCTATCTATCTATCTATCTATCTATCTATCTATCTATTTATCTATCTATCTATCTATCTATCTATCTATCTTCTTCGCCGTTGTCTTTTGTGCAGGTACGCGTCACCTCCTTCGCAGCGAAGCTATGGCGGACTTCTTCCTCACGGTGGCGCTCTTCAACTGTGTCGCCCTATGGCGCGCATCTCTCTCTTGCTGCAACGGCGATGGCGCATGGGATAGCGGGTACCAGCTCCGATACCAGTGCAATCAGACTCGCTTTCATTCACACTTCACATGCATGCAAATAGGTTGCGCAGCAAACTGGCGTCAAGCGCCCACTCAGAACTCAGAGATATAGTACCAAGAACGGAGCTCAGATACAAGTTCATTTCGAACGGCTATGGCGACACATCGCCTGTACAACTCTTTGTTCGTCACTTACTCAACACTGTTGTTCGCACACAGGATCACCCTGGATATCCCACACGCTACACCCTGTACACTTGCACACACCCGCACACACCTACAACTGTGGCGGCTATGGCCGCTGCTACTCTATCGCTATGGCTAACTTCCTTCTCTCGCCCACTTCGTCCTCGGGCTCTGTTACATGCTGCGCCTGCAACGGGCTGTATGGGCCATTTCCACGCCCGTGACGTTTTCAGGCCAAAAGCCTGAAAACAAGGGCCTACAGGCCCTGTGTCATTTTAGGCTAAATCAGGGCCTTTCCGACCCTGAGTGTTTTCAGCCTGAAACTGAGGGCCATTTTCGGGTCCTCATGAGTTCGGCCTGCCCCGAAACTTGGGCACCAGACCAGGGTTTTAGCTCAGGCCATTTCTGGCCTATTTTCAAGACAACCTTTATTTGAGCTTCAACCCCAGGGTCTGGCACGTTGAGGCATTGGCAAGAGCAGCCTCCTGGACGGGCCAGCACTATATAGGACTGGCCCGCCGTGCAGGCAGGAGGCAGTGAATAGTCTTCAGGATGTCGACAGCAGCACTTTGGAGGAGCGTTGCAGTAGTAGTAGTAGCGTGAAACAGCCCCGGTGAGAGTGTTAGGAATAATGTTGATGACTGGATCCTCAAATCCGCTCTAGAGAAGTTGGCGTGTTGGAATGACAAACATACTTCCTTAATTGGTAGGGCGCTGGTGATTAACAGTGTGGTGTTGGCCGCCCTTTGGTACGAATCGGCAATATGGGCGCTTAGCAAAGAAGCAGTGTGGTCGCTCAAACGACAAATAACGGCAATGCTGTGGAGAGGTAACAACGAGCTTCCCAATGTTATCAACAGGGCGGCGTGGATGTCGGTGATCCAACCCAAGGACAGAGGAGGCTTGGGGATTTTGGACCCAGGCACCCAGGTCACAACACTGATGGTGCAGTGGATCAGGAGATTGGTGTTCACACAAACCCTCCCTTGGCATGCCCTGGCGTTGGAACAGATCGCTCAACTCGCTCCACAAGCCCCTCAAACAGTAAACCCCCTGACCTGGCTGGAAGACCGCTTCTAGTCCTTGCCGCGACGCTCCCGCGCGGGCCAGGACTTGAACCGGGATGCAGTCTGCAGCGACCTCGCAAAGGACGACTTCTGGATCCGCTGCATGAAAGCCTGGCGCCAACTACCATTGCCAGATAGACCTGGGCCAACCAGATGGGAGGAGGTGGGTCGACAACCCCTGTTCGGGAACAGAAATATCACGGATCGAAACGAGAGGGTATACCGCAGCTCTGACTCCCCGTGGAACAGCTGGGTCAAAAGGGGCATAACCAGAGTTAAAGACATCTGGAACTCAGAAAACAAGGGCTGGAAGACAGAGTCACAGATGAGGACGCTGCTGAAGCATTGTCATAATATAGAAAACAACCCGGAAAGTCTGATCTTCGTGATTCCCCTGGATTGGGTGCGCATCATGCCAAAGGGACCGAAGCTCGCGGAAGGGGACTGGGTGACGGCCCCCGGAGATCCAAAGAGTGTAGGAAATGTTGTAACAACACACACGGATGAAACGCTGATCAATCTCTTTCACAAAGAAAATGACAATAAACTAACCAAATATGCCCCGAACGTAACAAGATGGTGTTGGAACACTGATCTGTACAGGATCCGGGTGCTACGTGATAAGGAGGACTGCATAGTATACCAGCCGGGGACCTGCATTACGGACCTCCCCTTTAACCCGGAGGAGTGGCAGTGGCCCCCCACGCGCAGAACCCCGAGGACACGGAACGTGAAGCTCTACAGCCTGACAGTGAAGGCCACATGTCGTTTACTGCGCCCTAAGGTAAATCTGAAAGATATTGTAAAAACCCATTGGATATCCCATCTGAATGTTGGGGTCGACGCCATCCGCCCCATTCGGTGGTTCTCCCTCACAAGGGCCAAACCTGCAAAGCTAGCCTCACTGCAGTGGCAGATAGAGCACCGCGGCCTCCCCACTAATGACTGGCTAATAGATCGCACTTACCTGGAACAAAAAGGACAGGCACTCCCGTGGTGCAAATCGTGTCATACGGCGTTCCCCTCCCGTAAGATCCCGGAAACCATAGAACACATTTTCTTGCAATGTCCGGGGTCTGTTCTCACATGGCGATGGTGGGACAGACTCTGGAGCCTGCTGGACACCGGAACGACTTGGCCATGGGACTAGAGGGCGATACTGTGCGAGACATGGACCTCCCCTACATCTAGTACCGTTCAAGATAACATGTTTAAAATCGGGAGGAGAGCTGTTACGTGGGCGATCTGGAGGAGACGCTGTATACACGTCATGGAGGGAGTCCGCATAGCCGGGGAGGAAATGACAGACATGATTAAACAATTCATACACCAAGAACTTATGACGCAATGGCAGAACGTCAAAAGTCAGCTGGATCTATGCCAAACAAAGAAAGATATATAACAAAAAATTCGACAATTCTCGGGGGACTGGCTGGGCGGCGAGAATGGAGGCCGCATCGCTTCCATCAAGTGGGATGGCGGCCAAGCTCAGGAAGGCGAAGAAGGCAACCAGGACGGCAACCGGGAGCCGATCAAAAAAGACTATCAGATTTGTTTCAGAGATTGGACAACGGTGGGCCAAGAGGTTCTGTTACGGCCACCATCGGATTTTCCCAATCCCTTTCCACCCCATCAGCTGGTTGTGGTGGACATGCAATGGTAAGGAGCAGAGTAAGCAGGACTGCAACAGGTTATATGCAGGGGCGCCAGCATCAGACGTTCCCAGCTCCCCTCCATCCTTTTTCACATTCTCATTTGGAGGAAGGAACCAGTTTGTAGCAGCAGATATCTGGCGCCTGGCATGGGGCGAAGAGGTTCTTGTCCCGATACAACCTGCTCAGTTAATCCCCTGGACCCCAGAGCAATCAATGCTGACAGGGTTTTCTCTACTTCAGTCTGTATTTTCACTCTGTATATGGGACGCCGGACACGCTTTCCAGCAGGTGATGCTCCCCACCAATAGATGGAGCCTCTCCCCCGGTGCTAGCGGTGTTTGCTCTTACCAGCACCTCTAGCACTGGAGAAGGTTGTTTTTTTTTAAAAAAAAAACAAAAAAAAACTTAGTCTTCAGCGTTGGGCACTTGCAGCGTTAGTAGTAGTCTCGGCGCTGGGCGCCATAGCTAGAGAACATGGGAGCTAACGGACCACCAACAGAGACACATTTGCAACAACGTGCCGCGGAGGGGCACGATGAGGGACAGGGGGAGGAAATAGAAGGGGCCCTTATAACTGCCCAGCAAACTGTACCACAAGAAGACCAAAACCAAGCAACGAGGCATGATGAGGGACAGGGGGGGGGAAACAGATGGGGCCGTCATAGCTGCTCTGCTAACGGTACCACAGGAATACCTAACCCAAGCTGAGGGACATGACGGGGGTCAGGGGAAGGAAACAGCTGGGGCCCTCCTCCCGGTTGAGGGCCAGCAGAGTGTCTCTGAGCAACAGAGGACAAGCGCGCAAGACGGGCCCCAGCCCGACCGCAGGGTCTCGCCGACTGCTGACCTCAGAATCCAGCCTTCCCTGCAGCTTCCCGAGGCAGGTCTTGCCGATGAAACTGCTGGCGCTCTCGTAACGGGCCCACAAGCTGCTCTACATGGGGACCTCACCCGATCACATTCCCCGCTATCTTCACCCCTCAGGGCAGGGTCCCCGCTGAAGTCCACAGGTAAGCACGAACACGTTCGCAGGGACAGTCAACGGCGGGCGATGCGTAAGCTTCTACACTTCGACTATTTGACTCGAATTACCAACGGACTGAAAAGCTTGATTCCAGCTGAAGGGGGTAGCCTGAGTGTTACATACTCGTGATTTCATCAACGAGCATAGGGCAGAACCAAAGATCAACCAATATAGGATGAGTATGTATGCAACGGAAGTCTGATAAACGGACTGACTCACATAGACTGACTTACACAGATATCACTCCACACACATACAATCGTGAGATGGTGGGGTCTGAGCCATGCATAGACGATGCTCAGRCCCCGTACACACATACACAGATGAAGGTGGGAGGAGAGACGAAGGAGGTGGGAGATGTAGGTAGCACCAGATGTCACCGAGATAGAAACCAGTAGGTCACCGATATGGTAATCCAAAATGTCATCGAACAAGATCAAATGTCGCGGACAATAAGTCACCAATGTCGGAGACACAGAGTCCTAATGTAACCGGTGTCCAATCTGTGATGCAGCCGAGTATCATCCCCAACAATCTCCAAGTCTTGAACCCGGTACTTGCTTCATAAGCTTTTTTAAGGGCTTTCCGACCTCTCTGAAGCAACCATTGGCATAGTTTAAAATAAAGAAAAGTGATATCTTTTTTTTTTCTATCATTTTTTGTTTCATTTCTTTTATAGTATATATTTTTATTTTTCAAAAAAAAATGTTTCATTAGATTGAATGTGGTCTCCAGTCTGAAGAAGAAGAAGAAGAAGAAGAAGAAGAAGAAGAAGGAGATGAAGTCTGAAGAAGAAGAAGCAGAAGAAGAAGAAGAAGAAGAAGAAGAGGGGAGAGATGGCAGAGGAGGAGAAGGAGGTGAGGAGGAGGGAACGGGACCGTGGAGGGAGGAGAAGAGATCCTCACCTCCTGGTACCTGCCCGGCTGCTGTCGAGGCGGCTATGGCCGCCGTGCAAGAAGAAGAAGAAGAAGAGGGGAGAGATGGCAGAGGAGGAGAAGGAGGTGAGGAGGAGGGAACGGGACCGTGGAGGGAGGAGAAGAGATCCTCACCTCCTGGTACCTGCCCGGCTGCTGTCGAGGCGGCTATGGCCGCCGTGCTGCTGCTGGCCTCCTCGCTCGCTGCTGCTGCTGCTTTCCTCCGCTCCTGCGCTCAAAATAGCGCTGCTGCTGCCAACCGATACGCACCAGCATTATGCCGGTGGCTCGATGCCTCGAAGTGAGGCCGGACCGGTCTTTAGTACCGGTGGGGCAGAGGCCGGCCTCAATGCTGCGAGGCCTGGCCGTGCCCTGAACCGTCGAGATTGACGGTTCAGCCCCAACCGGCAGGCGGCAGCCTCAAGAGCGCCGCCAGGCCCGAACGGTAATTTCGTTTGGGCCTGCCCGTCGGGTCTGGTCCAAGTCGTGGCCTTTCGGCCTGATAATCCCCCAAGGTCGGGCCTTTAGGCCCTAATGTGTCCCTCTAGCCCTAAGTCGGGTCCGATAGGACCCGTTTGGCATCGGAGATGTAACACACTCCCCCTCTTAAAAGATCGAGCTACTTGCGAGGGCGGAGTTGTCTGTCCGACACCGGGATGGGTCGGGTGGGACGAGCTGCTTCCTTGGCAAGGCGTCGCTTCTCATAGTCGGCGAAGATGAGGGGTGCAGAAGTCTGCAGGTCTGCACTAGAAATCCACCGAGTGTCGTCAGGCGCACATTGCTTGAATGTGACTTTGAACTGCATTGGCTTGTTGCCATACTTGCGATGAGGATGACTCAGTCGACTTCCTGATGTCCGTCCATAGAAGGTGGATCCTGTGATCGACGACCGGCAAACTCGTCGGCGGAAGGTGGCGTGTAGATGGCCAGCTTCGACGCGTGGAAGACCCGGTGCACTGGAAGGTGCGGGGGAATGTTGACCACAAAGGAAGGACTTGCGGGGTCGTCTCCAACGGCAGAAGTGACTTCCCATGGTCCGAACCATTTCGGAAGGAGTTTGCGCGAAACGTCCTGCTCGAGCGCAAATTCCTCGGAGAGGACCCAAACAAGGTCTCCCTCGCGGAAAGGACATGGGAGTCGACGTCGGTTAGCCTGCTGCTGCATGCGGATCTGAGCCTTTTGCATATTCGCGTGGGCTTTGATCAGCAAGTCCTGGTACTTCCGAACGGAAGCGGGAGAGCAAGGGACGTCTATGTCGGTGGCCTGTGGCTGAAGGAGATTAGCGAAGATCCGTACTTTCTCTCCACCATGATGTAGCTCGAATGGTGTGACGCAGATCGCCGGATGCACCGAAGTGTTGTAGGCGAACTCAATGTCGGGAAGCCGGTCAACCCAATCTTTCTGGTCGGGACGGATGAGCGTACGCAACATCATCTGAGCGGTCTGGTGTGCTCGCTCCGTCTGGCCATCCGTCTGCGGGTGCCGAGCCGAGCTCGACCTTTATTGTCGTGCCGGACTCAGCCATAAGGGAAGTCCAAAAGGCCGACATGAAGCGAGTATCTCAGTCGCTCACTATGTCTTCCGGAACACCCTGGTTGGTAATCCAGCCGGTGTGCAAGAGTCGTGCGAGCTCAGGCGCTACAGCATGATACTTGCAAGGAAGGAAGCGAGCATACTTGCTCAAACGGTCAACGACCGTGAGAATACCGTCATGGCCATGGCGATCGCGGGGGAACGGGCCTGTCATGTCCATAGCAATGGAGAGGCGCGGTGCCCGAGGAATCGGCAACGGTTTCAGTTCGCCGAAGGGGACTCGAGATCGCCCCTTGTTACGGTGGCAAACTGCACATGACTCAATGTACCTCGTGACGTCATGAAGGACGTCAGGCCAGTGAAAACGTTGGCGGAGGCGTGCTAATGTGTGGTTCGCGCCAAGGTGTGTCCAAAGTCGTGCGTCGTGGAATTCGCCGAGAAGACGAGTCCGTAAGACGCGATCTTGGGGCACAACTAACAAGTCCTTTCCTCTCGTGTGAAGGAGAAGGAACCCGTCGAAAATCCGATAATGGCTAGCCGGCGGGTGATCCGATGAAAGCTCTGCGTAAAGCGTAGAGTAAGTCGGATCGGACTTGTAACCTTTGACGAAATGCGTCTGCAGATCGTCATCGAGGTCGAATGCCGTGGTCACAATGGCACAAAAATCGGGCCGTCGTGAGTGGGCGTCCGCAGCTCGATTGGCGGGACCGGGAATGTG